CCTGTGCCTCACCTGAGGAGTCAATTAGGCCTAATACAGTATTTCTCGATTTCGTTTCTCAGGTATGTTACATTTTATCCCTTTCCCCTATTTCCTATGAACAGCATTCTTCCTTACTACATGACCAATCTTCTCATGCCTATTTGGTTTTCCCCCCTCCCTGGATATCCGGGTACATGCTGACTATTTTGCCTCACAATTCAGTGATGGGATTAGCATGCCTTGCCCCCCACGGGCTTTGAATCAGTTTGCTCTTACATATCATTGTACAGGCTGTCCTTTTCTGGACCACCAATTATTAGGTTCCATTTTGTCTGTTTGGGGGTGCAGCCCCGAATCTCCTGTAATTCTGACCCATGCCCAATTTTTCCATCTTTGTCTTACCCTCACAACTCTTTTACGGTATCTCTCAACCATCCATCTCCACTCTAATGCTCTTCACCAAAATCATGAGGGGTTTTCTGGGGATATCTTCTCCCTTCGTTTCTCCACATTGGCTCGTTTTTCGTCTTTGGCTCTGGCTTTACATACATGGTTTCTTTGTTGTTGTTGGGACCTACTACTATGTTCAGGAACTACTATCTTAGCAGGCCATCGAACCTGTTCTACATACTTCCCCAGGTTTTTATTCCAGACAATTTGTTGTTCCAAGAAAACCAGGAACTGGAGGCCTGTCATTGATTTGTCTCGCCTCAATCACTTCGTTCAACTACTCTGTTTTACCATAGAGTCATTTCTCACCCTACAGTGGGCATTTGCTCTGGGCTTATGATGGACGTCGCCAATGCTTATCTTCACATCCCTATATCATCACGGTCTCGTCCTATCTTTATATCATCCATCACGAGTTGGCTTATCTATTATGACCTACTCCTTGGGCTTGCTTCCACCCCCTTATGTTTTCTGTTGGGTGGTCAGAGCTTTTGCTCCCCATCTTCATATTCTGGGGTTGTGATTCCACCATTATATGGATAACTGGCTCATTCTGAACTATAGTCTCCCAGCAATACTCATCAGCTCCTTCTAATGGCTGCTTGGGTGGGCTTGTTAATGAAATTGGAAAAGTCCTTCCTCCAATATCTTGTCTTTGTGTGTGTGTCTTTTTGGACACTCATCTCAGATGGGCCCAACTTTCTCCTCTACATCTTTGTTCCATTGAACTGTTAGTTTGTCACGCCCTTTCAGCTCCCTCACTTTGCAATGTTCTATCACTTTTTGGGATGTGGTCTTTAATGACGTCACTGGTCCCCCCAGTCATGTGCATATACGATCCCTTCAGTGGGCTCTTCACAATCAATGGAGCTTTGCTATGAATCCCTTGTCAGCTTCCGTTACCCTTCCTCTGATGGATAATCTGTACTGATGGTTGGAAAAAAACCCATACATTGGGTATCCTGCTTCCTCCTCCTCGTCCAGATTTAGATCTTTTCGTGGATGCATCCTTTTAGGGCTATGGTGCATGGGTCAATCACCAGGAGGCTTTGGGTTGTTGGTTTGTAGACAAAAGATCTTTTTATTTCAACATCCCCAAGCTTCTCACGGTCTGTCGGACTTTGAATCACTACCATCATCTCACCAGACAGTGATTCATTCTGACAATTCTATGGTGATAGCACATATCAAACACCAAGGGGCACCCAGTCAAGATCTCTCTGTTTTCGAATGTTGGATCTACTGTATTGGGGCCCACGTATCACATTCATCACATTGCATGTCACGTTCTGGGTGCTTTCATTCTCGTAGCGGATCGTCTTTCTCGCCCTAACCAAATATTTTGATGGAGTGGTCTTTAGATTACCTCGTTTTCCAGTGACTCTGCAATTGGTTGGGTTTTCCCCATGTAGATACATTTGCCACATACATCATTCAAAAGTTACCCCTATTTTGGTCCCCAGTACCTCATCCTTGGGCTCTGGCTGTTGATACCAACAGCCAGGATTGGTCCCACAAATTCCTTTACGTTTAACCTCCTATCCAATTATTTCATTGGGTGATCTCTGTCATCCATACCGCTCCCTCTATAGAGTTCTTCTGATCACTCCTTATTGGCCAGCTCAACCATCGTTTCCACGATTACATCAACTGAAACTTTTCCCTCCAGTATCTCTGCCTTTGTCTCTTTCCCTTCTTCATCAACCTCAGTCACTGGTTCTACATCCAGCCATTCACATCCTTCATCATCACACCTGGCTATTATCCAGTCTCTGGCAAGGAGATCAGGTTTATACTGTCGAGTAGCTTTCCTTTTAGCTAGTTCCATATGTCCTTTTTCAATGAAGGTGTATCAGTGCAAATGGAAAGTGTTCTGCAGTTGGTCTGGAAAATGGGGATTCCCTACTGTGGCTTGAGTGGCGGAGTTTCTCACCTGGCTTTTCGACTGGGGGACTTTGGTCTCCTCGCTCTTAGGTTATTGGGCTGCCCTATCCCATACCTTTTGTTTTCCTGATACTGTTGAATATCTGCTTCCCTGTCCTTATCATGTTGATGCGTTCCTTTCGGATTCATCGTCCCCCAAGATGGCCTACTCTTTCCCTCAATTCCCTCCATTTTCTCACTTTACCCCCGTTTGAACTAATTTCCTTGTGTTCCATGTTTTATATTTCTCTTAAAACATCTTTCTTTCTTCTTTTAGCCTGTGGATGTCGATGGTCAGATTTGTTTCCCATTGACATTTCATGTATGCTTTACCACCCTACCTATCTTCTCCTTTATCCCGATTGTTCCTTCCTCCCAAAGACCTTGGCAGCTAGGGAGGGTAACTCCTCTTTTTTGCCTTTTTCCCTTCCTTCTATTTCTCACCTTTATCATCATCCTGATCTGTACCCATCATTGCTATATTTCCCACATGGCTTCCTTCCTTGGTACCCATTCCCAACTCTTTATCTCTTGGCAGTCTTCCTCTGTTCGGGATCTTTCCCCTTCTACCCTCACCACTTGGGTTTGACCTTTTATTCAATTGGCTTATTCCTCCTTGTCTTCTTCCTCCCAGAATTTGTTCCAGGTGTCTCATCAGATTTGATATCTCATCTTTTCACTCGCATCTCGTCTTTGTGGCCATTGGAGGAAATCCTACAGTTGAGCATATGGACTACACCTAATACATTAATTTCCCATTATTTTCACTATATTGCAGTTTTTTCTTCATTGGGTTTTTGTCTTCCACCTGTGACTGTTCTTCATGTTTCAGTGTGACTTTGACTGGATATGTTCATACTTTTCTTTTCCTTTCATTTACTCCTTATATGGATCCTACTCTGTGGTGAGTGGTGCCTGACCAGGTATTCTTCAACTTGAAATTTGCACTGTGCAGCCATGTTGACTCTCGTTTTATTTTTCATGACTTTGCAATGCTCACTGTTGAGATGGGGTGTTCCACAAGATATCTTGTAGGTGAATAACCTTGCAATATACTTGCTTCATAAATGTGCCCATTCCAGACCATATCATTCTTAGACTGCATGGGTAAAGCAGAAGGACATAGCTGCCCATCCCTGCCATCTCTTGTATTGAATAAATCGGTATGGTCTGCTTTTCAAAATAGGGTTTCGTGATCACCCATTGCACCATCTCATGTGATGATGTTCCTACTCTCCACTGCATTCTCACCCCCATTTTCTTCTAGTGGAGTATGGGTGTCCTTACCACTTTTCAGTTCCAAGCCACTGGGGTGGTCAATGGTGGAGACACCATCTTGAATGGGTTCCACGCAACGATGGCTATAACCATTCAGGAAGGGTAGGGGCAGTGGAGTTGGAGTGGTATTAGATTCATCCTGGTCTCTTAAACTTGAGGTGAAGACTGTATGATCCTCATCCTACTCCCACATGGATGTTGGATCCCAGTGGCATTGGTTTTAGATCTAGTTGACTTACTGAGTACGGTCTATCATGCTCTAGCCACTCTACACCTAGGGGCACATCCATTGTTTTACCTACTTTGATACTTTGTGGGGTTGATTTAGATATATATATTTACATGGTTAGGATCACTATCCTGCCACAGTTCTCTCCCACTTAGATGTGCTCCTCTCTTTTTCCACCCTTATCTATAACACATTTCACGGATAGGCTAAGAGTTTATCTGGTTCAGAAGTAGTGCAGTTCCCCTCATCAGACTCTCTCATTACCAGGGGTATCCTTTGGACATTTTCAGGGGTTACTTCTCTCATTACCTCACACCTGTTCTGTCACCAAATATATGTGGGATTCTAGCTAATCTTGTGAGAAGAGGGAAGTACCATCTCACAAGTTATAATTTTCCTATATTGAAAATGTATTTCCAATAGGTAATTCCCTCCACTCACACTTCCCACCTTCCTCCCCTCTTTTCTCCGGTGCTTATGTATTCTGCCAAACATCGAAGTGATAGTTTGGTAGAGGCATATAGAGAGAGTCACATATGTCACATGAGTATGTCATGCTCATAGTGGTGGAGAAGTGACGCATGATGATTTACATGAGAGACATGTTGGAATCATTCTATTCCAATAGGGAAAGTAAGAAGGCTTATGGCATGCATAAAGTAAAAATTTGCATATAGAGGGCAACACTGGACGAAAATAGCTAATCATGTGGGCAGAAGAAAGTACCTATCGGAAATACATTTTCACTGTAGGAAAATTATAACTGGAAATATTATCATGCTCGATATTAGCTTTTATTTGGAGGATGAACTTGAGCTGCTGTATTCATCATACAATATTTTTTATAAAACATCACAAATATTAGTTATTTAGAAAATAAAATTCTTGAGGACATATAGGCCTTACATTTGTAGTTAAGGGATAAATGTATAAATCTCTTTTATATATGAACACACAGTCATACATACATCAATATTCTTTCAGAGACTTTTCGAATCCAAGAACTTCAATACATTGATGGCAGTGGTTGGAGGTCTTAACCACAGTGCATTAGCTAGGTTATCTCGAACCAAAGCATGTGTACCTCCTGACTCCAAAAAAATGTTATCAGAGTTTACTGAGCTGCTGTCTTCTGCTCCCAATTTTACAAATTATCGCCGTGCACTGAATGATTGTAAAGGTTCTTTCCGCATACCTATTCTGTAAGTACTATTTGCCTTCAAGATTCTTTTGGTTGTCATTATAAAACTTGTAACTTGGTTGTCCTAGTTTACGGTCTGAGTTATGCCTAGTTAATTATGTACATTCTATTTCAGGATATCTATATTTATATATATATATAATAAAAACAGATCTAATTAAAAGTCTATTGAAAGCTGCTTACACATCATGTGTTTTTTTTCTATTATATTTGTATTACTTAACCCCTAATGTTTATGTTAGTCTATCATATGGTGACTTCACTACCATATCTGTTTGAATGAACTTAAAAATATCAGAAAATGAAAGTTATTCTTGAAAATTATATTTACACCTATCCAACAGCAGCACTTCCTTATAAATTTTTATAAATTGCTGATATTTACTATATCTATTTAAAAATTATTTCTCTTGTTTTCTAGTGCAGTTCATATGAAAGATCTAATATCCCTTAATGTGGCCTTGCCGGATACTGACAAAGAAGGTTTGATCAATTTCCGCAAAATGGCACAACTGTCACTAATTTTCAAGGAACTGTGGGAATTGCAAAATTCTAGACTTCCATTCAATGTTAACATGGACCTACTCAATACACTGAGGGTAAGTTTTAGGGAAAAATATTTCTTGACCATAAGGCTTATTGAATAAATCTTCCTCATCAATATCCTTAACTTTGTTGATCTTTCTGAATGAATTCCATAGAACAACTTTTTGAAGGATAATCTTACTCGTGACTGGAATTTGGCTCCCAGTATTTTCACTCCTTGTAAATCCACTCCCTGTAATAATTTATTAATGTCAAAAAATAATCAACAATAAAAGTAACATTCTGATATGGTACATTACCTTCGCTCACATAAATAGCTATTATCGTTCAGTGCTGCCCTCTATATGCAAATTGTTTTTAAGCATGCCACAAGCCTTTTATTTCCCTTCCATTGAAATTGACTGATTCCAATGCATCTCTTAAGCAAATCATCATATGTCAATCCTCCACCAACAAGAGTGACACACACTCTCATGATGCATATTCAATTCTACTGAACTATCAATTCTTGTTTGGCAGTATTCGTGTTCAGACATTTTTTTCTTTTGGTGATCTTTGTGTGAATCACCTTCATGATTTTAATAGTTTAATTTCCAAACTGGGATTTTTACATTATTTTTTGTTTTTTATTTCCATTGAAGAAATCTTTAACTTTATTTCTCAGTCTTTATTTTTTTTTTCTCCCACTTGCATATTTTACATCAAACACTTTTGTTTGATTTATGTATTACTACAATGAATTCTGAGGTTCATGTTCACATTGCATGTATCATACCTCTAGCACTATTTCACAGGCTGCAGGTGTGGGAGACCCGTTGTTGGATTTCTCTACTATTATCTGCCATGAAATTGATTGTTATATGTGTCAACCTCCTTCTCCTGAACTTGCCCCACTAATCCTCTGAACAACCATAACCTGTTTGGGCTGATGAATTATTGATAGCCTTTTTACACCACCAAATTTTGCTGTGTCTTTCACTACCCCTCCTGCAGAATCAGCTAGGCCCAATACGTAATTTTTTGACTTGATTTCTCAGGTATGTGTTGTTTTATCCATTTCCTTTCTTTTCTATGATTCATTATTACCTCCACATTGGCTCATTTGTTGCCTTTGGCTCTCGATTTATACATATGGTTTCACTGTTGTTGGGATCTTCTGGGTCAGGGTGCGACTTTGTCCCCAGCTCATTTGCTGACATTCTTTTAAGGATTTATGTATGGCCCTTTTTTTTGGCAGTATGTTTTTGATCTTGTACCTGATACTTTGGAATCACGTGTGTATTCTTTGAGTCAACACTCTACCCTTTCCTCTTTGGTTGCACATATCATGCAGTTGAAGCCATGGCAAGCTCCTATTCTTGTTTTCCATGCTGGTCCTCATCTACCCTTTCCTGTTCCTCCTTCCATGTGTTTCTCATCTCGTCATTTCATTCAATGTAGATGGGCATGTCACTAACAGTACAGGAGATTTACCAGTGGGTTATGATTCGGTGGGAGCTTGACCTTATGATTTTGTTACCTTTTGGCAATCTTTCCCTACAGATCCATGGGTTCTTTGGGTTTTATCAGAAGAACATGTTCTACTATTTCTTTTTCCACTTTCTTTGTCTCAGATACCCTTTTCCTTCCCCATGACTTGGGATCCTGCGACCAGCCAGCATCTGTCTGAGGTGGTACAAGATATTCTGTCATTGTTTTCTGGGTCCAGGGTTTTTCCCTGATCAACCCACTGTTCCTCATCATGCAGATTACCTCAGTTTACTTTTTAATCAGGGTCTTCTTTTTCTTCAATCTAGAATCTTCAGGCGGCTCTTTCGTTTTTGCCGATACTGCAGGTATATTTACTATTTGATGTGATTCATCATCTGCCGTGGCAGGCTGCCCTTCCGGATGGGGATATTAATGTGGTCATGCACTGCCTCACTTTGCCTACTTTCAAACCACTCTCCCTGTGCTCCTTGTTTCACCTTTCCCTTAAGTCTTCCTTCCTTCTCCCATTCGCCTGTGGACGTCAGTGGTCTGTTTATTTGACATTGAAGTTTCACATACTCTTTAACCTTCTACATATCTTCTCCTTTCTCTGGCTTATTTTTTTTTCCTAACTCTTTGATGACTAGTGTGGATAACTCCTCCATTTTGCTGCTTTTCCTTCTTTCTGATTCTCACGTTATTGAGCCTGAACTGGATAAACTTCTAGGTCCTGTATGTACTCTTCTCTGTTATAATGCCTGCACTGCTTCCTTCTGTGGTGCTCATTGCTGCCTCTTTTTTCCTTGGCAGCCATCCTCTGTTCGTGATCTTTCTCCTTCCACCTTTGACAGTTGGGTTTGGCTCTTACTTTGATTCACATATTTCTCTTTATCGTTTTCCTCCTGTGCTTTGTTCTGGGTGTCTTCTCATCCAATTTGACACCTTACCTTTTCATTGGCATTTCATCTTTGTCATCCCTTGGAGGTACTTCTTCAAATGGACATGTGGACTACCCATGATACATTTGTCTCTCACTACTTGGGTCGAATTTTGGTTTCTTCCTATTTGGGCTATCATCTTCCACCTGTAGCCATCTTCAGAATGAAGTGAGACTTTGACTGGATAAGTTATTTTTTTTCTTATTCTCTCCTTTTCAGGGGCCCTTTTTCCCTTTTATTATTGCTAAATGTTTGTATTCTGCTCTTTGGTGAGTGGTGCTTGACCAGGTATTATTTAACATATCAAATCTGTACTGTAAGGCCTTATCGACTTGCATATTATATTTCCATGGCCATGCAATGCACACTGCAGAGATGGGATGTTCTACAAGATCACTTGTAGGTTTATCCTCCCAATGGAATTAAAAAAAAAATAGCCCATTCTGGACCATACTCACCCATGGACTACATGGATAAAGCAGAAGGAGATAGCTGCCCATCACTGCCATGCCTTGTATTAAATAAATCAGGATAGTCTGCTTTTGAAAATAGTGTTTTGTGGTCACCCATTGCACTGTCTCAGGTGTTGTCATTCCTCCGGACTCTCCACAGCATCCCCCCCCCCACATTTTCTTCTAGTGGAGTTTGAGAGTTTTTACCACTTTCCAGTTCCAAGCCCTGGGGTGTTGGACCATGGAGGCTTCCTCCTGAATGGGTTAATGCAATACAGAATACAAACAAAATATAGAAATGATTATACAACCATTCAGTTGAGAGTAGGGCAGTGGTGTTCTGCTGGTGTAGAAGACGTGATATCCTCCATTATGAAACAAATATAAATGGGAGTGAACTGTCAAAATTCCAGTTCACCCCCTTCATTGGGATACCTCATCCTACCCCCATGCGGATTCCCAGTGGCTGGGTTTTGGATTTTTAGCTGAACCAATCAACATAAGTCCTCACACATGTATTACAGATGTCTATATTCCTCCCTCAATTATACTATTGTGGAGGTACTTGCAGATTATAACAGTTCTTCCCCTTCTGCTAACCTTGATGTTTATTATTCTGAGGACATTACTGTGCAGTCAGTTTTACTTTTGAGGGAGAGGGTTCACATCATGCAGACACCTTTTCGCTACCAGATGACAGGTTCCCTGATCGATCTATCAATTTCTTACATTAACATGTGCCCCGTTCATGGATTGGGGGGTTCTTGATTCCCTCCGGCCTCAAACTTGAGGTGAAGACGGAATGATTCTTTATTCTACCCCCACCAGTAGGCCAGGTTTTGGATTGTAGTTGACTTATCAAGGGTATGATCCTCATCCTACCCCTGAATGGATGTTGGTTCTCAACAGCATGGGTTATGCATGTAGTTGACTTGCCATGTATGGTCCGTCGTGCCGTAGCCACTGTACACCTAGAACGCATCCGTATAATTTTACCCACTTATATATTTTCTTGGATAGAGTTGCATAAATATTACATGGTTCGGATCATTAACCCACATGAGTTCTCTACCACTTGGATGTGCTCCCCTGTTTCCACCCATATGTGCGACATCTTTATATGAGGGGTAAAGAGTATACCTGGTTCAGAAGTGGTGCAGTCCCCCACATCAGATCTTACAATCTAACTGTCTCCTCTACATCCTCTCTTCAGTGAGATTGAGAATAGGATATAATGTGGTTCAGATTCCAATCCAACTGTCTTCTCTCCCTTTTGGTTGTGCTCCTCCACTTTTTCCACTGGTGTCTGTGACACCTCTTTTCACACTGGGCGATAAGTATACCTGGTAAAGAAGTGGTGCAGTCACCCAAATATGATTCTCTATTAAAAGAATCATTAGTATGAGGTATTCTTTGGATGCTTTCAAAGGATACTTCTTTCTTTCCATTGCACTGGTCCCTCCACCTATTCATTGTGGGATTCTAGCTATTTATGTGAGAGGAGGTAATGTACTGTATCGGAAGTTATAGTTTTCCTACACTGAAAATGTATTTCGGATAGGTATCTACCCCATCTCACACTTTCAACCTTTCCTTCCCACCAAAAAATGGTGCTTCCATCTTCTGCCAAAACTTAAAGTGATAGTTCAGTAGAATTGAATAGAGGGAGTAAAATGCGTCATGAGAGTGTGTCGCAGTCTATTTGATGATGGGTTGACGCATGGTGATTTGCATGAGAGACGCATTGGAATCAGTCACTTCTAATGGAGGGGAGATAAAGCCTTGTGCCATGCATAAAAATTTTTTGCATATAGAGGGCATCACTGAATGAGAATAGCTATTTATGTGAGAGGAGGTAAGTACCTATTGGAAATACATTTTCAGAAAAGGAAAATTATAACTTTATTAAAAAGTGATGCAAGTTATGAGTTATTCCTCGTATAAATTTATTTTAATAATTACTATATGTGATTCTACTGGGAGTAAATTATCCTACATCTGACAGCTACTGCTGCCAACTATAGTTGGTAAGACTTTCAATAGATGACATGAAACCATCAGAATGTATTCTCCCACAACTTATTCAGTCATTCAGCTACTGCAGCCAGCAGCAGTTGTGAAACACTCAAACATATTTATTGACATTAATAAATTATTACAGGGAGTGAATTTACAAGGAGGGAAATGCATGGG